TTTAATTGCTTTGACATTTCGACGACAATCAAATACAGCTTAAGAGACGAGGTAATTAAAATTGTAGTCGAAAGAGACTTTTTTTACATTAAAAGACTCTTTCGACTATACTATAAGGATATATATATATATATATATATATATATATATATATATATATATATATATATATATATATATATATATATATATATATATATATATATATACTAAAAACAGCTAAGAAAGTTAAACATTGAAAGTCATGCATAGAAAAATATGAACCTGAAAGCATTAGTTATAAAATCTAAGAATAAATGTTTACCTTGCCTAATTTGTTGATCAGACAAACTGTTAAAATATAAAGCTAATGAAGAGACTTGCTGTCCCAAAACTTGCTGTTGAGCTTTGGCATTCTAAAACACAGTAGAGTATATAAGTAAAACACAGGGGAAAAAAGGAAAAAAAGAGATTGAAAATTCCAAATTTTTCAGAAAACCTTGAGAGCATCATCGATGCAACCAAGTGGCATATAATCTTCATCAAGTTCATCTGTGAGAATAATATGGGGTTGACTGGTATAGTGAGTGCTATATGCACAATGTTCATTCAATGCATTTAGCCATCTCTTAAAAGTAGAAAACAATAATATTTAAAAAAAAGAAATGTTTAATCTCAATTATTCATGTAACAAAAAGTAAAGAAAAGTGTACCTGACAATCAACTTGTCCTAAATTTGTCATAAAAAAATAAACTGTGTGATCTGAGAATTGAATCTTAAATTTTTGGTCAAATTCTTGATTAGCCTATGAAAAAAGAAATTTAATGATTTTTAAAAGTAATTTATTAATTTATAACTTTAATAAATTTAAAATAACATAACATTTCTATTTCCTGCAATTTATCTACAAATAATCTACCTTCCAGCTGTGAAAAAAATTGAAAAATAAAAATATATGTAATAATAATAAAAACGTAATTTAAATATTGGAAAACAATTTTTATTTTTATTTTTGTTCTTAGCTTTTTTATTTTTTTTTTTATTTTTTAGGTTGTATTTATTTATTTTTTGAATTTTCTTTATTGTCATAAACATTAAACAGTTGTAAAGTTGAGATGTAAATTAAGTTGAGGTGGAGGTGTTAGGAGGTGTAAGTTAAGTTGATGTATAGTTTTTAGGAAGTGTAAGTCAAGTTAAGGTGTACTTTTTAGAAGATGTAAACTAAGTCGAGGTGTAGTTTTTAGTTGTTAAGTTGAGGTGGAGGTGTTAGTTAAATTGAGGTGAGGTGTAAATTAATTTAAGCTTTTTGATTGATCAAGTTTGCTGTTGAAACTTTACGTGTTGCATCAAAAATAGCACATATTTCTTAGTTATTGATGGGAACTTACACTTCTTCAAAACTTCAAAAGACAACAAAAAGAGTATTATTCATAGAAAAACTACAAGTATTTAAATAAAAATATAAAAAAAAGTAAAAATAGTAAAATAACAGAGTTATAAAATAACTCAGATCTCTTACAAAGAAAGTGTTGATATTATGATATTCAAAAAAGTGAAAATTTTGATTCTGTTTCCATTCATGAAGCATCTACAGTAAAAGTTATATTAAATGGTTCAAAAAAAAAAAACTCAATTAAAATTTGCTTAAAAGAAAGTTTTAGTAGAAATAATCCAAACATAAAGAAACATATTAAAATATTAGGATATTATTTTAAAACAAACAAATGTTAACTTTTTGCCCTGAGATTTCTCAAGAAAAATACAAAGTTTGAATTTTCCAAGATATTAAGTCAAAATTTTGAGAAAATCTTGATATAAGACATTTTAGATGGATTTTTTTTATAAATTCACACACAACAACAGGTTGCAAGCAACCATTATTAAGTTAGGAGTTACTAGAAAACAAAGAATGGTGTTAAAGTGCAAGGAAACAGTTAACAGAAGAATTGAAAAGTTGTAGGTTTTGACATAAATGTTGTTATGATATAAATCTTGATATAAAATATATATATATATATATATATATATATATATATATATATATATATATATATATATATATATATATATATATATATATATATATATATATATATATATATATATATATATATACTATGTATACTATTGCATTATGTACTATTTTTTCTTTCTTATATAGACAAATACAATTAAAGCTCTTTTGAGCCAACATATTATCTGGTTATTCGTTACAATCTAAAATTATTATCACAAAAAAAAAAAAAGAAGAAAGAATGGAAAGATTCATGAAACCTCATAGACTAAGCAAATATTCTAACTCATCAGATGCAGCAAGAACTTATAACCATTGGTTCAAAATATTTTACAAGTATTGATAATGAAATGAAGCTTAATCTACTAATTAATTGTATTGAACCTAATGTGTATGAATATATTTCAGAGTGTGATGAGTTTGAGCAAACAATAAGTATACTTGACTATTTATATAAAACCAAAGAATGAAATATTTGCCAGACATATTTTGTCTACACCTAAAAACTGCCAGACATATTTTATCTACACGCAAACTGATGAATTGATAGTCTAATTTCTAAATGAGTTAATGAATTTATCTAAAGACTAAGTTTAGTGCTGTTAGTGCAAAGCAATACAAAACTGAAATGATTTGTGATGCTTTTATAAATGACTTGCTTTCTAACATTAATAATGTCAATGTTTATTAGAAAACCAGACATTAATGTTTATATTGTTTATAATGACCAAGCCAGATCTTTAGGTGTGGCGCAAGAAAATCTCAATCAACTATATCAATCTTTTCTAACACTGCATCTCTTCAGGAAATAAATTCATCCCTGCAAAAACCATATACAAGCAATGCTATTATTCATAACAGTAATCATGTAGATGCTGCAGTAAAATCAAAACAATTGTGTTGGTTCTGTTGAAACATACAACATCCATGTACAAAATGTCCTGCTCATGAAACTACCTGTCATAAATGTAAAAAAGTCATTTTGAAAAACTTTGTCAATATGCTAATTTCTCAGCAGCCATTCCTAAAATTGAGTATAATTACTTTTGTTCCACCATCTCAGCCTCAGAAAATTCCCTCTCTTGATTATGCCACAAAATTACTATTATAGACAAATATAGAACAGAAGCCTTGGTTGATAGTAGAAGTTCTGTGTGCTAGACAACTTAGGTATAGACATCGTTCTTGGTTTCAAGAACTGCATGAAAGTATTACAATTAAATATGGTAGAAAACTACCAACTTTTGCAGTTCTTACAACAATGAAAACTGAGCAAGAAGTGTTTGCTAGTCTCACCAAAAATTGCTGACCTATTAACACTTGATGTCAACATTCTCAAAAAGATAGAGAATTTATTATATCTAAAACCCATCATTTAACTGAAGCAGGAATAATAGAGCTAAGTAAATCACCTTGCACGCTCAAGGTTTAATTATAGACAAAAAGACTAAATGTTGTATGGTAGTCGATTATTCTGAAACTATTAATAAGCAGTTAGATGCATATCCTTTACCTAAGGTTGAAGTGATCGTGAATATGATTTCTAAATACAAAATTTATAGTACTCTAGACTAGACAAAATTTATAGTATTCTTTGTTTTGCTTACTGACAATAAACTGTAGCAATACATAGAATGTCTTTTGGAATTACCAAACAATCAGCATGTTTTCAACGCAAAATGGACAACTTTGTTAAGGCCTATGAACTAATTGGCAGCTTTCCAGTCATTGATAACATTACTGTATGTGGGAATAGTCAAAAGAGGATAATGAAAATTTGGCTAAATTCAGAATAGCTACCAAAGAAGCTGGAATTATAATTAATGAGGAGAAGAGTGTATTTTCAAATAGCGCATTAATTTTTTGGGTTACCGTATATCATATGGTTCTTTAAAACCTGATCAATCAATCAATCATGTATTCTGGAAAGATCTAACTTTTTTGATATTGATTTTTTGAAAAGATCTAGCGACTGTGGAAGTTAGATCTTTTTTGAAAAGGTCTAACTTCCACGGTCGTTACAAATAGTTATAAAAACTAATATAAAGTAAAAACCTCTTTGATAACATAAAACATATTATAGACACATAGTTATAATTATAATAAAAATAACAATAAATTAACAAAACAACAATAATAAAAGTAGTTAATTGTATAATAATAAGAATAACAATAATAATAGTACCAGTAAGTATAATTAACACCCCATAATAATGAATAAAATAAAAATATGATAATAATAAATACAATACACATATAACAGAATTGTTAAATAAATATTAAATAAAAGGCTGTTCATTAAATACGTCAACAAAAATTATAAAAACCAGTAACTAAAAGAATTAAATCAATGCAATCTTCCATACAACAATCAATTATATAAACATAGTTACAGTTACAAACAGTAATAAACTGACAAAACGTAACTAATAACGATGACATAAAAACGATCATCAGCAGCTTGCCCCTCTTATTAAGTTACCTGCACCTGATAATGCTAAGTCTCTGCAACAGATTATTGGAATGTTTTCATACTATTCAAATAATTCAAAAAATTTCAGATAAAATTCAACCTTTGAATTGTGTTACTTAATTTGCACTCAATCAACAACGAATATTAGCATTTAAAAACTAAAAAATGTTCAATCTTCTATGATATCTTTTGATATCCATTAATGTCCTTTTTACTATAGAGACGAATGCTTCAGATTTTGCCTTATCAGTCACACTTAACCAAGATGAAAGGCCTGTTGCCTTCCATTCACAAACTCTTCAAGGAAGTGAATAATACTATCCATCAGTGGAGAAAGAAGCTCAAGCAATATTTGAAGCCATAAATCATTGGTGACATTTTCTTCTGGGTCAACATTTTATTCTTATCACAGACCAACACTCTATAGTATTTTTAAAGAGTATGATTATCAATCAAACAGTAAAATAAAGTATGATAAGATAATGCATTAGAGAATAGCCTTGTCCCCATATTTGTATGATATTTCTTATCGCAGGGATATGTAACAGTAGTCCAGATACATTTACTTGTGTTTGATGTGCAGCAATAAGTTTAGAGTATTGATTTGCATACAGCACTTTGACATCATGGAACTACTGTAGAGTATGTAATCAAATAAAACCAAAGCACTATCATCCAAATGCTACACACCTAATTAAGGCAACTGAGCCTTTTGAACATATATCCATGGATTTTAAAAGACCATTACCTTCTTTAACTCCTAAACATAATATGTTTACAGTTGTAGATGAATACTCAGATTTTCCTTTTGCCTATCTGGTAAAAGATATGACAACTCAGACAATAAATAACTGTTTAGCTGATCTATTTTCCATGTTTAGTATGCCTATGTTCACTCTGATTGTAGCTATGTTCACTCTGATTGTAGCTATGTTCACTCTGATTGTAGCTATGTTCACTCTGATTGTAGCTATGTTCACTCTGATTTTAGATCATTTTTAATTTCTTCTGAATAAAAACAGTTCTTCACAAGTTCTTCTTCACAAAAGATATTGCGACTAGCACGACAACCCCTTATAACCCAGCTGGAAATAGAAAAGTGGAAAAATATATTGGAATTATATAGAAGTCAATATTACTCACTCTTAAATCTCAAAATCTACCATTATCATTTTGGAAAAGAGTTTTACCGGATGCACTTTATGCAAGATCTTTATTGTGTACCTCTGCTAATTGTAGATAAACAGAAAAAAAAGTTGAAGATAATTCAAACCCTATGAAGCAAATTTACCTCTTCACAAATTTCTAAAGCATCTGAAAGACTTGATTTATAAACTTATTTGAATATTTTAAGAGGAGGGTGAATGACATAAATGTTGTTATGATATATCTTCATATAAAATATATCAATATATATAGTAAAATTTATATTATGTATACTATTGTGTTATGTATCATTTTTTTCTTTCTTATATAGACTAATACAATTATAGCTCTTTTAAGCCAACATAATATCTGGCTATTTATTACTGGTTGCATTAGTCAGGAAAACGTGAATATAGGAGAGAGTTGTAGGATAGGATTGAAGTGTTCAAATAAAAGTTTAGAGCATTTAAGACAATAGGAGCAGATAGAGCAGGTCCAACTATGCTTACAAATAAGATATTTTTAGAGATAGAGAATGAAATCAGGTGTACGATAATGGCACATTAAAGAGAAGCAACCTTAGCAGATGCTAACTTTATAATTGATTGTATATATTTTTGTGAAAGGTAATAAACAATATTTTAAAAAGATGTAAAGAAGAGTATTCAGGATTTTCAGGAAGATTATTAGTGTAGATAAGAAATAATACAGAACTAAGGATAGAACCTTGAGGTCCCCCAGAAAAAACTAAGAGAGAAGAAGACCATAGGTCTTTGAAAATAACTTTAAAACTGCAGTTACAAAGAAGTGATTGGATGTTTGGGAAGGTCCACAATCATTTAAATGATAACTGGCATAAGTTAAATGGAATGTTGAATATCTCTCATGGCTGAAGCGCAGAGAAACAGGTTGAGTGTGATACTTCTAGAGACATATATATAGACATAAAGGTGAATTTGAATCTTATTTATATTATATATATATTATATATAGAGGGAAAGTTTGTACCTCAAATCTCTTGATTGCGAGCTGAGCAATAATTTAATTTATTTAATATTTTAGTTTGATGATGTCATGAAACTGAAATAGACTGAAGAAAGACCACCGGAACTTACCTGAACAGGAAGTTAGAGTTGGAACAGACAGTATCTACATGGATACTGGACAGTATCTACATGGATACAAAGGAGATCTATTATAGCTAAAAATAAATTTTTTTAAATCATTCTCTTTCTGAAAAAAAGTGTCTAGATTTAGGCATGCATAACTTTTATGTTTACAGAAGATGTACATCGGTACACTAATCAAACAGTATCATAGTATAACTTTTTTTATATTAAAATACATAATTACAAACAAAAAATTATTATTGCTAAATATATAGATAATATCAAACAAATGTTGCTATAAGATATTTAAATATTTGAAAAATGCAATAAAATTTTTATTTCTGTAAAAAAAAAAAACATATGGTTATGTTTGCATTTGGTAGGTTTATACTGAAATGTCAATGAGAATATCATAGGAATTCTGTAAACAAAAAGACGATTGTCATTTAATTATTGCACATACTTTGTTATCTGAATATATTTATATTCAAAATTCATTACAGAATAAAATCCTATAAACAAATTTATTTTGATTAAAAAGTTTTGTAAAACCAACCAAATGGTTATTTTTTTTAAACCATTTGATTTTGGGAAATAAGCAATTTTATTTTATATAATTTTACATGGGCTTTTGAGTTTTCAATAGATATAAAATTATATCTATTGAAAATTATAACTTCAATAGATATAAAAATATATCTAGTGATAAATGCTGTTGTTGCTAATGAATGCTGTTACACTTTAAATAAAAACAAGAAATAAATTATAGTATTTTATAATATATTTAGAGATAATTGTATATAACTTGTTTACCAGTATTTTTGCATGATCAAGATATTTAAAAAACTGCCTTCTCAAGCCTGAAGCTGCATCAGCTCTAAAAAACAATGTTATATTTATTGCAAACTAATTTTGAATCATTTGTAGTATTTTCACACCAATAAAAATAATAATAATATTTTGTATCAATTTAGGTTTATCAGGATTTTGTCATTCTTATTGTGATTTGTAATTTTAATTTTGTATTTGTATTAAAATACTATATGTATTTGGTGACAAAATGCTATATATTTATATATATATATATATATATATATATATATATATATATATATATATATATATATATATATACATATATATACACATATATATATATATATATATATACACACACATATATATATATATATATATATATATATATATATATATATATATATATATATATATATATATGCGGTAGTGGTGTAATGGTCACTTCATAAGCAAGAGGTTCCGAGTTCGATCCCCACCACATCCTTGGTAGTACCGCGCTCAACTTGTTTCTTCGCGCAGCGGCCTTGTTTGCCAAGGTTTGTGTTTCAGAGTTATAGAGAAGAGAGAGGGTTATACCTACTATTAAGATTAAGCAGCCTCCTCATCTGTAGTGGCCTTCTCGGCCTTGAGGATGTGAATAAATATATATATATATATACATATATATATATATATATATATATATATATATATATATATATATATATATATATATATATATATATATATATATACATATATATATATATATATATATATATATATATATATATATATTATATATATATATATATATATATATATATATATATATTTGGTGAAAAAATTTTATAGCCGGTGAATATATTTATCTATTAAATCCTGATATTTTTACTGATGTTGACTATTGTCTTAATTTTGTAATTGATCCCTTAAATCCATCTTTTTCACATGTTATAGAGTTGAGAGAGAGTTATAACCACAACTAAGTAGCCTCCTCATCTGTAGTGGTTTTCTTGGACTTGGGGAGGTGAAAAAATGTAATTAAAAAAAAAAAAACTCACCTGTCAAAGCATGGCTTACTAATGATAAAAATAAACAAACTAGTAAGACTTAAAGTCCTAAATTACATGTGAATGGAAGTAAAAAAAATTGAAATCAAATTTTGCTAAAAAAAAAACACTTTGACAGTTTTAAATTTATCTAAAGATGAAATTTATCTAAATGTTTATGTATCTACTGTTTTGAATCATTTGGTAATAGCAGACACGGCTGTTTCACTCAATATAAAAGCGAGCCTGACGTCACGAGTTTATCAAAAAAAAAAGTATTTCCGCATAAAAAGTATAAAAATTCATTAACTTTAAAATAATAGTATTTTTTTTCTATAAATGCTTTCATCTTCAAATAAAAAAAATATAAAAGATCTATCTTTCCTTGTTAAATAAACATTTACATTAAACGGAATAAAAATGAAAGCTGTAAAAATATTGTTAATAATTTGGCATCACTTTTCTGATTTTTGCGATTTTTACACAAAACCTGTCTTAGGCCAACTAAGATTTGATAACATAGCTACATGGTCGATGGTTGAAATTTAGAACAGTTATTAATGAATGTCTGTTCTATCTAGATTTCCACAGACTTTGCAAGTTTTTATATAGAAAGTTAGTTTTTAATGCATTTATATTTTTGTTTTTATTCGTTTTGAATAAAAAACATAACATTTTTGAAAAGTCTGTGGATTTAGTAATACTTCAACCTTATATGAATAAGAAAATCAAAAAATTATTTTCTGTACCTCTAGCTATGTTATCAAATATGTTTTCAAACTTGGCATGTTTAGCGACATTTTTTTTAGTTTTTTTTGCATAAATTTTTGTTTACATTTTAAAGCGGTGACGCAAACTCTGATCGTTACGTCCCCAACGATTATCGGATGCATTTTAAGAAAACAAACAAAATAAACGAGACACATTTTATAGAATAAATAACAAAGTTTCGCGGATTAATTTCTCTTGGATATTTGACTAATTTCAGATAAGTTGATTAATCCGATTTTATCTAGTGCATCTATTTGTCAATATTATTCTATTTAAGTTGTTTGTATTATAATTTTATTACTATATCAATAAAGATTATAAAGCAAAGTTTCGTGGATTATTTCCTCGTGGATATTCGACTAATCTCAGATAAGTTGCTTAATTCTTTTATTTTTAGTGTATTTATTTGTAAATATTATTTTATTTTATTTCTTTTATTATATTATTATTATAATATCATTATCATTATTTATGTGATGTATGCAACTGAGAGGGAAATTTTGAAACTGTACATCGGTTGGGAAGATGGTTGGGAAAATGAGTATAACTTTAATTTTGTAAAGCGAGTAATTGACACTAGTAAGATCACTAACAATGTGATTTCAATTTTATTAACAGTTTTTCATCCAAAAGCGTTGTTTACTTTTTTAAGTTTTCTTTTGCCAATTGAGTTTAATATGCCTAATATTGATGTGTTAAATAAAATGTGCCGAAAAATAAAACAAAGAAAAAAAGATTCTAAAAAGTATTTTGAAGCTTCAAAAAACGAAGCATTTTTTAAAATGCAACTGTCTCCAGCTCCACAAACAAAAAAACAAAAAAAATCAGCAGATGCAGATAATTTTTATATTTTAAATAGGAATAAGGAACTAAGTAGTCAAGTTGAACAATTAATTTCTAAAGAAAAAAATAATGTGGAGCAAATAGATAATTTAAAAATACAGGTATCAAAGTTGGAAACTGAAGTTATATATTTAAATTCTAAAAACAAGGCTCTCAACGCACATTGTAACTCATTAAGTTCTCAACTAGAGACTATGAGTATTAGGCTAAAACAGGAGGAGCAGTTCCAACTTTAAAAAAAAAAAAAATTAAAAACAGCACACCGTAAATTTGCATCTGCTCGTGCCAAAAATGTAAGATTGCTAAAAAAATTTAAATTTGAAAAAAAAAATGCAAAAATCAGTGATATAAACAAGAACAGTTGCCAAATTTGCAAATATTTTGCTAGCAGTGATAAGGATTTAGTTGTCGTTGATTCTTATTTAGACTATGACAACATTGGTTCCTCTAAATTATTCTGTGGGTTTAAATTAAGTAATCCACAGACTATATCAGTTAAAAAGCCAATAGTTATAATATCTTATTCTAAGTTAGGTAGGCATGCTGCAGCTAGATGATCTAAACTTGCTTTTATATTCCTTCGATTATTAGCTTGTTCAGATTTGGAAAGTGATTTGTCTATGTTGTTTTGTGATTCTGTGTCTTGTGAAAAGTCTATGTTTCATTGTGTTGCAAATAAGTTGGGTTTAGTTAGGCAGTTAAGTGTTTCTGATGCTGTAGAGCTGCAGAGCCAATTAAGGATGCCCACAGCTGAATTCCGTAGGCTAAGACGTATTCTGTGTAATCTTGGTGCAAGGATTCTCCCATCTGAGCCCAAGATAAGACAAGAACAAGAAATGCGGACAATGCATGTTAGTAAAGAACATGTTACTGTAAAGTCCATGTTGCTTTATCCATCTGCGAATGAAGCACCTTGTTTAGTACCTGTATTGATGGTCAAGAATTTGATAACTTATATTGAAGAGGTTTTCAATAGTCTGCACGTTCGTGACCACTTCAATACAATCTATGGAAAGTGCTTACAATGAGAACTTGTGTGAAGATAGACAAGGTGGAAACCTAAAAGCTCTAGGTAAGTTTCATAATTCAGTTATTGCTCCTGTGATTTTCCCCATAATAACTTTAGATAATGTAGTGCCACCTGTTTTGCATATTATGTTAGGAGTTGTGTTAAAACTTTATAAGTTATTGTTGAAGGAGTGTAAGACTTTGGATTGTCAAGCTGTTTCGTCTTTGTTGCATAATGAGAATGTGAGAACGAATGAATTGTGGGCTGCTAAAAGCTTTGAATGTTCTAAAACAGCAGACTCTTTACGTTTATTAGGAAATCAATTTGTAGACGTTGCAAATCTACAGACTCGTTGGTTAGCTTTTGATAAAAATATTTCTGAATTGGAATGCATATCTCTAAACTCCTCCAATAAAAAAAAAACCTGTAAACAGCAAGAAAAGTGTGCTAGTATCAGGTGTTTAATTACTAAATATGATTGTAACATTGATTGGGTGCAGTGTGGAACGTGCCAAAAATTGTTCCATCAATTTTGTGAAATTATTGGTGGTTCGGAAAAGAATGTATTGTGTGATATAGAGAAGTATGAGTGTTTAGCATGTCAGGGTGAAGATTTAGAATGTCTTGACCTTTATATTTCTGAAAAAATTTCTTTTATACGCGCACAGCGCGAAGTTTTAGACGTTGAGTATATTCGATTGCAGATAGAGTGTGAAGACCTAGAAAAAATATCTATAAGTAGCATGGGGACTCATGAGAGGTCTCTTTATAAGTCCCTTGAAGATATGAAAGTTGAGCAACAAGCTTACCATGGTAATGTATTTGTAGGTAATCATTGTAAAATAGTATTAGGAAACCACTATAAACTTTGTAGTGTTATTGATGATGAAGCAATTAAAAATAGATTTGTACGTGTGTTTAGTGTTTTTAATAATTTGCAACCTATTCTTTTTAAGCAAAAATTTCTTTCTGATGCTGAAATTTCTGAGCTTCATCAATATATAAATTTATTTGCTATTGAGTTTCATGCTTGCTTTCCAAAAGAAAGTATCACGCGAAAAATGCATGAACTCATTTTCAATGTGCCTCTATTTGTAAAATTGCATAAAACTATTGGGTTGCTGAGTGAAGAGGAGGGAGAGTGTTTGCATAATAGCGTAAATAACGAATTAAGGCAGTTGCATTCAGTTAGAAATCAGGAGCAAAAGCTGCATCTTGTTTTAAAACGTTTTGAATTGCACAGCAAAGCTGATAGGAAGCTTCAAGCCTCTAAGGTGAGAAAGTGTGTTGTGTGTTCAGAGCGTGGCGAAAATTCATTTTATAGACAAGGTCTTTGTCTTGTTTGTGGTCATCAAATTTAGTTTAAATGTTTGAAAAGTTAAAAAAAAAATTAAACTTTTTACATCTAAGATAAATTATATAAGATCCTTAATTTACAAATAAGAGAATTCTATTCTGTTTTAATGCCTGTAATGTTTGTTCAAAATAATAATAATTTTTTATTACAATGATTTTATATATTAGGTAGATGCCCATTCTGTTCCTATTTTCAAAAGTTTATTATATCTATGCAATGCTTTTGCTCAGGTTAAAGAATGGAATAAAAGTCTAGCATCAAATGTATAGCTAACTATTTTAATTTGTGATCAGAGCAACTGGTGTGTTTGTTGGATATGATTTTGTATGTTTATGTAGTTAATTCAAAAAACGTTTTATCCTTTGTTATGTAATATGTAACATTTTTTATATATATTAGATCTCCGTTCAATTTTTATCATCAAAAGTTAGTTCTACCTTCGCAGGACCTCTGCTCTACATACCTCCTCTCTGGTTAAAGAATGGAATATAAGTCTCATTTATCAAGTTGGTGTAAAAATTTAGCTTGATAAATTAAGAAGTTGTAAACTTTATTATCACAATTGCCAAGTTGACCAAATGTTCTTCTGGTTTTAAATGAATTATGTATGAATCTAGTATCAACTGGGTGTTCAAAGATAGTTTACTGCTTGAAGAACTTATCAATGGACCAACTAATTATAAAACAGTTTTTAATAAAAATAAAAACGAATTATCAAAAGATTTAAATCAGTTATTTGTGTATATTTAAACACTTAATTTTTTGTGAGAAGAGATTGTTGATACAAGTACCATAAAATAATTCTACTACCAAAAGCTAGGTTAATTCAAAACCTTTAACTCAATTTTGGTCATGAATTATTTTATTAGAATTGATGAGTTTTTATTTATTAACTACCTAACACCATATTATTAGAACTTTATTTTGTAATGTAATGATTTTATCAGCGTTCCAAAATAATTTTCTAAATCAAGAACTTCTATATTAAAAAAAAGTACTCATTTAACAACTAATCGCCCCTTATAACGACGTTTTTCATAATTTTGCGAAAAATGTGGTTTGCTTTCACAATTCGATTAAGGCTGTTTTAGTTAACCTTAAATAATTAAGTAAGGTTTTTTTGTTTTCATTATTGTCAAACAATAAGTGTATTTGATAATAACTATTAGGAATAGATTTTTCTAATTTTTTTTTGATAAAAAGTAACATCAAATTACAAAAATTTAGCCAAATTCAATATATGTCATATTTATTCTAAACTAAAAGAAGTTTTTCTACTAATGCATTAAATGTCATAAGGTAAAACATTTTATTGATGTCTTAATTGTTTTTACAAAACATAATTACCTCTTATATTTCAAAAGTTATAAAAGTTTTAGTAACACCCCTTTAGTCAATATTTTCAAAAATTAACAAGAAGCCGTTAAGCTCGGTTTGAAACAGCCGTGTCAAGGGAACAGTGGATTCAATGTCAGCTTTGGAAAAATGGATTCATGAATGCACACCATACTGCAGTTTATTTGTGAAATCTGTTTTTCTTATGACATTCATTAGATATAAATTACCATTTTTAAAAACACTCATTATAGTGTAAGTTGTGTTGTACTTTTTAAATAAAACTAATGTTTTCAGTATATTACATTTTCTTTATTTATATTTTGACTATTACAAGATTATTCCTCTCTGGAAGTACTGTGCTGTAAAAGGTGCTTTCTGATGCTAAACTCCATTATTCTCAGTTCACTAAATCTCGCATCTTATCGCAGAAGTTAGGCTCTAAAGACTTTTGGAAAATCTTCAACAACATTGTTAACAAGGGTAGATCTAACATTCCATCTCTCATTCATGGGACTGATCTTGTTACCTCTCCCAGGGATAAGGCAGAACTGTTTGCAAAGAACTTTTCTTCTAATTCCACTCTTGAATCTTATGGACATTCTCTTCCTTCCATTCCAGTCAAACAGGTTGACCCATTGTTAGACATTCAAATCACTCCGGCTTCTGTTGCTAAAGTCATATCTCAATTAAACTCGTCTACAGCTTGTGGTCCAGACAACATTCCTGTCACAGTCTTGCAGAATTGTTCTCCAGAACTTTCTTCAATTCTCTCTAAACTATTTAACAAGTGTTTGACTGAGTCTTGTTTTCCTGCTTGTTGGAAAATGGCATCTGTGGTTCCAATATTCAAAAACTCTGGAGAAAATTCTGACCCCTCCAATTATCATCCGATCAGTCTTCTTTCTGTTATTAGCAAGGTCTTTGAGTCTTTGATCAACAAATTCCTCACATCTCATCTTGAGTCAAATAAACTACTGTCAGACAATCAATACGGTTTTCGATCCTCTCGCTCTACGGCCGACTTGCTAACTGCTGTAACTGAAAGATTTTATCGTGCATTAGATGGAGGCGGTGAGGCTAGGGCTATTGCTCTCGACATATCTAAAGCTTTCGACAAAGTTTGGCATGCTGGTCTTCTCCATAAGCTTGCTTCATATGGTGTTTCTGGGAAAGTTTTTGAGATTATCAAATCATTTTTTTCTGACCGGTTTATTAAAGTCATCCTTGAAGGCCAACACTCTTCTTTATTTCCAGTAACTTCTAGGGTTCCCCAAGGTTCCATCCTGGGCCCTGTTTTGTTTCTTATCTACATAAACGATCTTCCTGACAACCTTTGATCTAAAGTAGCTCTTTTTGCTGATGACTCAACTTTATACTCCTGTCTTGACAAAAAGTCTTCTCTTTTCGATCGCCTAGAACAAGCAGCTGATCTTGAATCTGATCTCACTTCAGTAATAGATTGGGGTTCACAGTGGCTTGTGAATTTCAACTCTAAAAAAACCTAATTGCTTACTGCAAACAACTACCGTAGTATGGTCAACATTCCTATATTAATGAATGGCAATCCTCTTACTGAGTCGTCCTCTTTACGCCTTCTTGGATTATCGCTTACTACTGACCTTTCATGGAAACCATATATACAATCGATTGCTAAATTAGCTTCTGCTAAGGTTGCTTCTCTTTATCGTGCTCGCCATTTCCTTACTTCTGATTCCATTCTCTACCTCTACAAATCTCTTATTCGTCCCTGTATGGAATACTGTTGTCATATTTGGGCTGGTTCTTCTAACGATTCACTTTCTCTTCTTGACAAGGTCCAAAAACGCATTGTAAATGTTGTTGGACCTGGACTATCTGCTAAGCTTGAACCTCTTTTCCATCGTTGTAAAGTTGCATCTCTTTCTCTTTTCTACAGATACTATCATGGTCACTGCTCAAAGGAGTTATCATCTCTAGTTCCATCAACTAAAATTCATTCTCGTTTTACTCGTCATTCAGCTAAGTCTCATTCGTTTACTGTATCTGTCCCTGCATGCTCTAAAAACTTTTATTCATCTAGTTTTTTTCCCCGCACTTCAATCCTTTGGATCTCTCTCCCATCTTCATGTTTTCCTGACTCCTACAATCTTCAACTTTTCAAGTCTTCTGTCAACCGTTTCCTTGCTCTATAACTCTGTTCTTTTTTTTCCTAGTAACTCCCAACTTAATAGTGGTTGCTTGCAGCCTTGTTGGGAGTGAATGCAAATAAAAAAAAAAAAAAAAAAAAACTTGTTTCTCCTCTCTGGTAGAAGTACTGTGCTGTAACTTGTTTCTCCTCTCTAGAAGTACTGTGCTGTAACTTGTTTCTCCTCTCTGGAAGTACTGTGCTGTAACTTGTTTCTCCTCTCTGGAAGTACTGTGCTGTAACTTGTTTCTCCTCTCTGGAAGTACTGTGCTGTAACTTGTTTCTACTCTCTGGAAGTACTGTGATGTAACTTGTTTCTCCGTGGAGTGATCTTGTTTGTGTTTTGGATTAAGAGAGTTAATAAATTTGAAAATCATTGAAAAAATTTTTTTTTTTGTTTTCAGAATAATTTGAAAAACTTTAGTCTCAGCATTATATTAACAAAATTAAGTAGTACTCAAATTTGCATTAACTGGTTATAACCCAAACATTCCATGAAATATGACAACCAACCCAACATTCTGTTGGCTTTGGTTGTCACACAGCAGAGGTCTTCAAAAATAATTTTACAACAAAATATATTTAATTCAATGTCAGAAAATTGTTGTAATAGTTACCAGAAATAGTTAAACTACCTTTTTGCAAAGTCTGGCTTTTATTTAATGAAAAATAAAATGTAAACCTAAAATGTAAAAAATGTGACAACCAACCCCCTCTCCCTTATACTGCTGCTGCATTATATTGCTATATATGCAAATCATATACAATATAAAGTTTTTACATTAAACATTCATGGGTTGTGATATGCTGAAAAGCATAAAGCTCTTCCTATTAAACAAACCTAAACAAAAAATTTCAACTTTGTTTTTATAGAGCTTTTTAAATATACACAATATATTATTTTAAATAATTTTAGCGGGAAAATTTTAATAGAAAACTGTTTACTTTTTTACCTGGTATGGAAAGCAGATAAAATTCCACGCTCTAAAATCACCCAATGTTTTTTCCATCCAAAGAAGCGACTTTTCTATTTTTTTGTATAAAAATAAATGTTTTTTATAAAAAATATTGCAATTACGGAAGCAAAAACTAAAAAATCAAATTTAGATAATACCTATAAATAAACATAAGGGGTTATGCACATAGAACATATAGTACAAAAGTAATACATACAGTAATGCATACAGTAAAAAAGTAAGGGAGGTTTGCTGAAAGTTTTTGGATGGATGAAGAAGATTTAAAAGTAAAAGTAAACACCTTTAAAAAGAGTTTCATAATTATCTAATTTTAATATTGTTTTTGTTTAATTTTTTATTTATAACTTTATATAAACTCTATTGTTGAGCTAAGTCACAAACATGCAGTTTTAGTGCATGCAAGTCATGCGATTCTTTAATGTGCAAACATTAAAAATAGTAAACAAATTTTAAAATAGTTTGATATCAACAAATTTTATCTTCCACATATTGAAAATGCTGATGCAGTTTAAAAAATATATAATCCTAAAACCAAAAAAACTACATTTGAAAGCATTTCATGATTATGTTAAAATACCTAGTATTTTTGCTAACTATTGGTATATTCTGGTAATCTGCAAATTATTCTGATCCATTGTGCTATTGTATCAGGTAAATAAAAATCAGTTAAAAATATAATTAACTAAAATAATCTATATTTAATTTTTTTACTCATTTTGTAATACTTTTATAATTTGTTATTGTAATATATTTAGTAATTTAATATATCAGAACTTAATTTATTAAATAAGACTATAACTTTAAAATGAAATTTAAACTTGATTTAAACTTGATTAACATTTAAAAACTCCATGAGTTACTAACAAACTGTGTTGAATTTTAGAGACAATTAGAATGAAGTTATATCTTTAAAAGTAAACCTTTTGTTACCCTTTTTAATACATATGTTGCCCCTAATACACAGCTGGTTAGGATTTAAATTCACATATGGTTATTACAACAAATTAAAATAACAAAAACTAACATACCTTCATAATATAACCTTCAAAGCGTTCAACTGTCTTTTGAACAGTTTGCAGAGGATGAATATCTAGAAGTTGCCTCATTTTTGGATCACGTGAAAGCTCTAATGCTGATAAACCTTTAAGAACAAAGAGATTAACTAAATGACAAATTTTAGTGAGCATAATGGGTATGACTAACAAGTATATTAGTCAATATTTCTACTGGTATAGCAACAACAAGATTTGAAAAAATGATCAGTTAAAAAGTAAAAATGGTTGAGTGAGGGACACAGATCTACCATGATCTACTTTACATCTCCGCTAGTTAATACTACTAGTTGTAATAAAACTTTCGAAATATTTATAAAAGAAATAAAAAATAATAGAAATTTTTTTTTCTAAAAACATTTTTTAGCAAATATTTTAAACTTAAACTTTTTATTTTTTTGTTGTTGTTTTAATGGTTGCATTGAAAAACCTTTAAAATCTCATAACTATCTTGAATTAATATTAAAGGCAGTTTTTATTTGTATATTGTTAATAATGTTTATAATATTATATTGAAAGTATTATGGTGAAATAATTGGTTATTTTATAGGTATTATTATTAGTAAATTTTTAATCAATTTTAAGATAAAGCACAGAAGTTTACCCAGGAGATAAAGTTTGAACAGAATTTTATCTCTTTTCTAATATTTCACTTATTATGTGGTATTGGTGTAGTGGTAGAGTGCTTGCCTTATAAGGGAGAAGTTCCAAGTGCAATCCTTACCATGTCCCTGGTATCACCAGGCTCAACATATTTTTCTGTGCAGTGGCCTTGTTCATCACGGTTTGTATTTCTGAGTTATAAAGCTTAGAGAGGATTGTAACTACAACTAAAGCAGCCTCCTCGACTAGAGTAGCCTTTTCGGTCACGGGGAAGTGAACTAACATTAAAAAAAAAATTCAATAATACTTTATTGGGGAACCTTGTTTATTTAAATTGTTAATAGATTCAAAATCCTGAATTTGTACCATTTTATGCCATCTTTATATATTCTTTAAATTTTTTTATCAGAACTGTCAAATGTTTGTAAGCTATCTGTAATGATTAGGGATGCAATGACTTATCAAAATTTTGAAACTTCAAACTTAAAGGTCAAAAGCTATGGATTTTGAATCCAGACTGTAGACTTGAATTTTTTTTGTTTATTTATGAATAATTTTTTAATTTTAATTTCTTATAAAGTTTCTATTACACTCTATTACAACATTATTTATTAAAAAGTATTAAAAATATTATTTTTATACTGTTAATGTAACAAATTATTTCATAAAAAAATGAATATTTTTTAGTAATAACCACATTTTTTTTAAAAAGATAATAAGTAACAAGTAGAAAGTAGCTACTCAAAATTAGGCAAAATAAATAATATACTGAATAATTTTAATTATAAGATGTTATTAAGTTATATTATTGTCATACTTAGAAAAACAGAACCTTTATTTTAATTTAATTTTACTTTTTTTATTTTAAATTTCTTTTTACTATTATTATTTTTTAATTTCTTATATTTTTCCAAAATCTATAATTTGCTATTACTATGTCAGGGATAAATATTTCTACAGAATTCATATTTTAAAATGATAAAATATATTTGAAAACAAAAATATTTTATCATTTTAAGTTATCAAACTTTTCAAACCTTTTTCTTTAAAAAGTCCATGGTTTCACACTTGTGTAGTTTAGACATCTTTCCACAATGTCAATTTCTTATATATAAATATGGAATTATGGAAAACTTGGAATAATTATGGAAAAGCTAATGCCATTTTTTACATCCAGGTGCTCTTTCTGGCCTATTTTTCAAATCAGTATTTAAGATTACCAGGTTACATACATACATACATACATACATACATACATACATACATACATACATACATACATACATACATACATACATACATACATACATACATACATACATACATACATACATACATACATACATACATACATACATACATACATACATACATACATACATACATACATACATACATACATACATACATACATACATACATACATACATACATACATACATACATACATACATACATACATACATACATACATACATACATACATACATACATACATACATACATACATACATACATACATACATACATACATACATACATACATACATACATACATACATACATACATACATACATACATACATACATACATACATACATACATACATACATACATACATACATACATACATACTAGGGTGGTTCTTAAAACAACTTTTTTTGAAAATGATAGCTGGCACCCTCTGAATATGTTGCATATAATAAAAAAATACTGGATTTAAAAAACAAAATTATATAAAAATTTCAAAAATATTAATCATTTTAAAAGTAAATTTTTATTTTAGATTTTAGTGAACAAAAAATTTTGTTTTTTAACTGAAAATGTAAAATAGGGAATTTAACAAGAATTTTTCATTATAATTTTATCTATAGATGTGTTTTTATAAAATGAATATTATTTTTGAAATTTTTATATAGTTTTGCTTTGTTTGAGACCCAACATGACATACTTTTGAAAAACTTTTTTTATAATAATACTAGGGACCTATTTAATGTTCAAGGGCGAGTAGGAACCCTTTAAAATATTTTTTATTCAAAAATTTTTTAAATCTAGCATTTTTTTATTAAATAAAACATATTCAGAGGGTGTCAGCAGTCATTTTAAAAAAAAGTTGTTTATAGAACCTTTTAGAACCATGACTAGCAGTTTGGACCCATAAAATACGAGTTTGGACCCATATACTTTTACACGTTGGTTTGGTGAAGTCTCATATTTTGAAAAATACGAGACTTCACCAAACCAACTATTTTTATACTTCCACGGTCCACTTCTAAATTCCTAAATTTACTTATATTCCTTATATATTTACTTATATTCCTTATTTACTTTATCTTATTATTTATTTTATAGCCAATTCATTAAAAAAAAAATACTTTAGAAGGTAAAAAAATTAACATATGCACCTTTTCGTATACGTAGAGCTCAAAAGAAATTTATAAAATGGTTTGTATTTCTCTAACATGCATGTTTTGGATAGCTCAGTTGTTAATTGGTGTCATTTTGTGGAGGTTTAAATCTGCCCATTAACACATTACATTTTCAATTTTTTCAATCTGGCCATATATATTTATAGCAAAAAATAAATATGGCAAAAAAGACTTTTAATTGTAGAAATAAAATTTCAAGTTTTTGCTATGGCCTTTTTTTTTGCCTCCACAGTAGCAGGAGTTCAGGATAGGCTTTTTAATTTTTTTCTTCATTAAGTTTCAGATTATAATTCTTTTAAGACCATCCACAACATATTAGGATTAATTACCTGAGCACATTAATAATTAAAGTCTATATCATGACATATGTTCAACAAATTTCTACCGGTGTTTCGATATTTTTAGAAATTTTAAGTTTTTTAAAAAACCTCTCCCTTTTGTTTGTTCTAGTATATAATATTTTTATATATGTTATGTATAAAATATCTATAAAACTTCAAAACTGTTTTATTTTGTGTTTTTAAGAATTGAAAAAAAAAAAAAAAAAAAGGTGCCAGTGATTGGATTTGAACCACTATGATGTATTATTTGAAACACATCAAACGCTACGAGCTAACCATTTTGGCCACTTAAACACATTATCTAAAGAATATTTTTAAAATATTCAATAATCAAAAACTTTATAAAAAGAAAAATAAGCTTTTTTAAAAATTCTCTGTTTGTTATAAATCCTTAGTTTGTTATAGTATATCAAAATCTTAAAAATTCTCCCTTATCTTAAAATCAAATTTGTTTAAAGTCAATATAACAAAACATCTCCCTAAAATCTTAAAAACTCTCCTGTTTTTGTTTGTTATACAATATCTTTATATGTGTATTATATGCATATAACATCTATAAAACTTCAAAAGTGATTTATTATGTATTTTATAAAATCAAAAAAGAATTTTTTTTAAAAAAAGATTTGAACCACGGCAATGCCATTTAGAATGCTGCAAGCTAACCATATCAGTAAGATGTATTGAACAAGAAAAATTTTAAAACTATTTAATAAACAAAAAAACTTTTTATAACAGCAAATAAATTATATAATTCAAAAATAAGGAGATGCTGACGCAATGAAGCTTTTAAGTAAAAGTAAAACTGTAAAACTTGATATATGTTTTAACATTACATGATTTGAAGTTTACTTAAGTTAGATATTTGCATACACTTTCATTCATATTTTCTTATAAAAAAGTGTGACTCTTTCACCCCATTAACTCGGTTGTAATGGATGCTATGAGTTCCATGTTAAGCACTCACTAATGGGTAACAGTGTTGAATTGAACATTAATATTTAATAGATGATTATTTAATGAAAAATATTTTTTACCTCTATTATTTTTTATTGTTGAATCTATTCCATTTTGCAGAAGAAAAACAGCAATTTCTTTATGGCCCCTTAAATAAAAATAAAAAACAATAAATTGCAATAAAAAAAATTAAATAAAAAAATATTTATAAAAATTTGAAAATTATAAACACAAACATTAATTTTGCAATTTTTTACTATTTACAATTTTTCAGTATTGTTACGATTCCCACAAATATTTAAGCAAAAAATTTAAGCTAAAATACTAAGTTTTAAATATGCTAGTGACAGTGTAAGGATTTTAGCTAGAAGTTCAATCTACGCCATATCTTTGGTAGTATTATGTTTCATTGTCTCTCTGCTTAGTGGTTAAGCTTGTCAAATCTTATGTTTTAGAGGTTTAAGAGAGAGAGTTGTAACAACAAAATTAAAACAAACACCCCCTCGATAGCAGTGACCCTCACAACCTTGGGAAGCTGAACACAGTAGAAAACAAAAAAAAAACAACCTTTAAATTGTTTTTTTTTTGTGTTTTAGCATTTTATAAAGCGTTTTCAATTAAGCAACAATAAAGAAACATTTAAGGCCTTAATTAAAATTAAGAAACTCATGCTAAAGCTAATAAGTGTAGAAAAATAAATTTCTTACTTTTAAAAGTTTATTTTACACAGCCTTGCTTTTTCTTTTGTTTAAAAAAAAAATTAAAAAAGAAAAAGATTTAATGCTATATAATTACTAAATATACTAAACTATAAAAACTATTTAGATACATAAAAATATGCTTTTAGTAATAAATGTAATAGATGCAAGTATATACAACAACATAGCAAGTATTAAGTTTTGCATTTAAATAATAATACAGTAAGCTTCAATTCAATGTAAGCATTTAATTCTCAGGAAAAATTTTAGTCTGTTAAATACTTATTCATAAAAAGACAAATGTTACTATTTTTATAGTTTCAAACAAAATTGAGAGGATTTATTTGATGCCAAACCCCTCTACTTGCCAAATATAAAAGCTACAAAAAAATTAAACACAGTTAAAATTATATATTATTTATTATCTTATAAATTATCTTATTAAAAGAATTAATTATTAGCTTCTCTCATTCATTCCATTAAAAATATTATTAGCTTTTCTTCTCTCGTTCATTCTCTTATTTATTTGTCTAAAACTTAAACTTAGTTTTATTAAAAAACTTGTTTCTGTGTAAGGATAGCATGAAACTCTAGTTTTACATGTAGTAAAAACTTTGCTTAAATATTAAAAAAAAAGTTTGTTAATATTTTTTTATCTTTTGATTAACTAATCAAAAGTTTTGTGAATATGAATACAGGTGTTACATACCTTAAAATCAGAGTGATCCATTGAAATGGCCACTGGTTTTACTTACCTAAATGAAGCACAGTGAAGAGCTGTGTTACCAAGTAAATTCTGACAATTGATATTTGGAGGGTTAGTACTAGACAACTAAAGTAAATATAAAAATAATATAAATATAAATTAAATATAAAGTAAATATAAAAGTAATATATAAAGCAGAGGTATTTTTCTAAAAAGTCCTCTTTTTTTTATTATTTAAACTTTATAAATTCTTACCAATGATTTTACAGTCTGCAAGTCACCATCTGTAGTAGCCTGAAGCAAAGCTACATTTCGTGATAACTGTTGAGACTTTTCTGCCGCTGAGTTCAAAAGAAAATTTTAAAGAAAACTTTTAACAAATAAAAATAAAGTGAAAATAAATATATAATTAAAAAAAATATATAAATATTTCATAAAAATAAATAACTTTAATAAATATTTAAATAACTTAAATATAAATTATTTATAAACATAAGTTTAAATTAATTGCTAAATTTAATTAAAATAGATTATTATGTCCTAATAATGGTAAACCATAAATATTAATGTAAATAACAAAATAATGTAAATTACAAAATTTACCTGCTATAAGTTTTTTTACTTCTGGGCAATCAGTCATCAACAATGGAGTCCTTCCTTCACCATTAATTATAGAGACATCTGCATTGTAATGAAGAAGAGACAAGACCACATCCTAATATAATTAGTTTAGGCTAATTGTATGTAGTAGGTCACAATAAATAAAAATTTTAAAATTTTTAAAGCTATTAGAACCACTTGAGATTTATTTGTTAACATTTTTTATGTAAAACTCAAACGGATCTAAATATATAATTATAGACACATAAAACTTGTTAATAAAAATAAATTTACTGTTCTGCCTGTAAACGCAGCACGGTGAAGAGGAGTATCACCCATTCCATTTATAACATTGACATCAGCATTAAACTAATGATTTGCAAAAATCCAGATGTATAAATGTAACATAAATAAAAATTTCTTGATAAAAAGTATCAAACCTAATTAAAAAACATTTATTATAAACATGCAACTTTGCTCTAGTTTAAGTAGAATTTACCTTAAGCAGTGTTTCAACAACATCCTGATGTCCAAAATAGGATGCTAAATGCAATGGAGTCCATCCCAAATTGGATTTTTGTTTACCTTAAATTGAAAGTTAGAATGACTAAAAACAACTTTATAAAAGATACATTCACAAAACAGCATTTTCCTGGTGCAGATGGTTATGCAGGCATTTTTTATCTCTGTAAGTTAGCGTGCATAAATAACATTAATGATGTCATACTGAAAAAGTCATTAGTGGGGGCTTCATACATATATCTAATGAGTTTGGGCAGATACCTACTTGATGTAGTTAAGGCAATTTTAAAATATTATAGCATCTGTATGATATTTGTTGACTACGACTATTTCTGTTAAATGATCAGGTCTGCGAATTATGAAAAGATAAAAAAAGTTAAAATGATAAACTTTGCGGTATCATAAAGTATAAATGTTTGTTGTAAAAAAACCCAGACCGAAGATTCTTTTTTTTTAAAAAAAATCTTCTTAAAATCACAACCTTTTGTCCAAATTTGAATAGGATTTTAAATAAATACCTTTTTTAGGTGAAATGAACATCATAGTTTAATAATATGATCTGTTCTGATCATTCATTGGCAATTTTTCAAAATATGCTCTTTCTTGGTCGAAATTCTAGGATTTTTTGTGAAAATTGGTAGAAATGTTGTATTTTGGCAACTATATATAGTTAATATACGTCAGAACCAATTAGAACTTGGATCTATAGTAGGTTAATACACTTTAACACAAAGAATTTAACTAAGTTCATGTTAACACTAATGAGCGAAAGTGATCTAAAGACTCCAAAATGGTGTTCTCTGGACTCACTATTAGGGTTAGTAAAAAGGTTTTAAAAATTATATTAAAAAAAATTTCTTTCAATATTAAAAAACCTGAAGGAATAACGCGCTGGATTAAAATAATAAATAAATATGAAATAATATAATAAATAAATAAAAATGCAAACAAACTTCTTCTTTAAAACGAATGAATAAATAAAAGTGCAAACAAATATCTTCTTTAAAACGAATTTAACAAAAAAGTTACTTTGCAAAACAGATACCTTAAAATGGAACTACATTTAATAATATTACCTATATTATTAAATATTTTGGTATCTGTTGTATTATATAAATGGATTAATATTTACATAAAAATGATAATAAATATATAATACAAACGCAATTATTATACAAAATACAACAATTATACAAAATACAATGATTATACAAGCAATAATTATATCCTTATGCAGACAGCTATAAAAACAAACATCTACTTTGCAGTCAAAAGGATACAAGTTCTTTAATTTATTTTAATGTGTAATACATAAATTATTTTATTTCTTAACAAGTTGAGTGTGGTACTACCAGGGACATATTTTCAGTGTTGACTAATGTTGGAAATCGTGAAAATCTGAGAATTATTGAAACTTTTTCCCGGTATACTTACTTTTGATTAAAAAGGGTGATTAAATAAATGAATTTAAAATTATTTTCACCGTAAAACTGTAAATTTTTACAGTTTTACGGTGTATAATAAATATAATAGTAGTATATTAAATATCAACTAATCAATTTTCTTATCTTTTTATTGTAAGATACAAAACTGTAACTTTTTTTGTTAGGGTATTTTTGGTAATTATATGCATACCTAACACACAAGCATACAAATTATGTAATAGAGTGCTAAATATTATCAACTGACTTTTATACAAATGAGTTTTTTCCCAAACTTTAATGATTTTCAGAAAACTGGCATTTTTGAAAAATATTTTGCTAATAAATTTAGCACCTAACTCCTTACAGTTTTAAAGATAATGATACTCTGTCTTAACCCATATTTTGACATCTTTATTTTTTTAATGCTATTTATTTTTTAAGCACATTGCATTACACAATTAGCTTGGTGATGAAATTTAAACCTAACTAATTAATTTTTAAACCTTACTCATTCTTGACTTACCATTGCATAACTTTTTTCTTAATTATTATTATTTTTTTTAATTTGTTATTCACCTCCTCAAGGCCAAGAAGGCCACTACAGATGAGGAGGCTACTTAATAGTGGTTATAACCCTCTTTCAACTCTATAATTCAGAAACACGAACCTTTAAAAACAAGGCTGCTGCGCGGAGAAACAAGTTGAGTGTGGTACTACCAGGGACATGGTGGGGATCAAACTCAGAACCACTCACTTATGAAGTGAGCGTTTTATCACTAGACCACTACCGCTTTTGACTTGTTTATGTTTATCATAAACATCTTGTTTCTTTTGCAACTTTTTTAAAACTTTTTGTTAATTATTCTCAGCAATTAAGCAATCATCTCCATAGAAACAAAGCTTTTTAAATAAAGTACTAAAAATTGAACCCTAATGTACAGCAACTTTTAACTCTATTAGCACTTTTTCACATTCTTCATTTCATTCGGAATGAAGACAAAGAAAATTTACTAAAGAAGAAAAACAGTAAAATGCATCCTGCATGTATCTTGCATGCATCCTGAATACATCCTGCATGTATTCTGCATGTATCAACAGCAGCTGATGAATCAGTGGTGACAAAATCATTCATAAAAATTTTTTTAAAAAATGGTGACAGCAGCAAAACTTTATAAAATCTTTAAAAAAAGTAAAATTTTCTCTATTTTCATGATTAGAATAAAGCAAGTGTTAAAACATTTTTAAAAAGTTTTAAAAGAAATTAATTGTTTATAAATGTTTTTGATGAAATTTAATAAGAAAAGTATTATCATGCTGAAAAATAATAAAAAACTTAAAAAACTGTTTAATGTTAAATTTTAACTTTAATTTTAATTATAAACTTCAAAAAGACTTTATTTACATTATTTTTATAATTACAGAGCTTTTTTTTAATAATTTTATTTTTTATTTTAAAAAAATCAACTAGTTTAAAAAAATTATTCAACTATATCAACATTAAAATCCAGTAAAATTATATAAAAATTAAAACCCAGTAAAATTATATAAAAATTAAAATTAAAAATTTCATTCAATAAAAACTATAAATTTTGATTCTATAGTTGAAAATTAATTTTTAAGAAAAAATATTCATTTTTTTAAGGGGTTAATTTTAGAACATTTTGGGTTATAAAACGAAACATACTTTTCAATTTTTATATTATTTTATTTAATTTAAAGGTTAAAAAACTTTTTAAAAAATTTTATTGATAATTTTAGTGACCGGTTTATTTTTAGATGGCTACCACAGTCAAGGAGGCTACTCATTTATTTTCTATTATTTTTTTCATTTTATTTGACACTGTCTTTTTACTCTGAATTCTGAAACCTTTTTTAAATAAAGTTGCTGCGCTGAGCAAACTTCCAGAGAAGTACTAAGTTTCAGAGAGTACCTCCAGAGAAGTTGGGTGGATTTGAAACCTCAAACCTCTTGAAAGTTCTATCATTTGTCTACTACACCATAGTGTCATTTAATAATATATATAAATATATAAATATTAATATATAGTTATAAATTAAGTGTTATTTAATAATATAAACACATTCAAGGAACTTTTAAAACATATCAACTTATCAGTAAACAAAAAAGAACTAATGAGATCCATGCCCATAACTTAAATTCACAATGTTTTTCTTTTAATTTTTTATAAAAAATTTTCTTTTGTTTTCTTTTTATGTTTTTATTATAAATATAAGTAAGAAAATAATATGTATAATAAAATGTATGTAATATTGGCAATTAAATAGTGGAAAAATAAAGATAAAAAAACTATTTAATTAAAGCATTTTTTTAAAAAGTTTATGCAATTCGAATAAAATTAATTAATCGGCAAAAATTAATTGATACAAAGGTCTGACCATAAAACATAGACCATAAAACTTTTGCTCAAAAGTAATGAAAATTGGTTTTGTTCTGTTTAATCTTCAAAAAAAGTCAATTACATTTTTAAAACAGTATATAAATAGTTAATTTTCTTAAATCTTATGGAACTCTCTAGCATTATCTGAACTGGATGCTTTAGAAATTTCTGAAACTTTCAAGAAATTTCTGAAGACATCTAGAAGTTTTAAAAAATTAGCAAGTTTTAGACTATATAAGCTGCCTGAGTGAGCAATGCTAATAGTTATATATGAATCCCCAGATGGCAGTCAAATAATATAGAAGTACAATAGTGCTTTTATTATTATTACCATTCAGAATCAAGTATTATCTTCAATCATGATGTCATATAAGAAAAAAAAAAAAAAAAAAAGTGCTTCCACTACTGAAAAAACAAGATAATCTGAATGAAGAATCTAGTACGATTTTATGACTCACATAGGAAAATAAGATTTGCTCCATTAAAAGAACAATCACTGGAAGATTACAGCAGGATACCACTCAAAATTCAAACTGTTGGTTGCTATCTGTTCCTGGGAAAATCCATCAGAAGAAGACGAGAACACATAAAGCAAATTTTACACATTTATTAAAGTTGTACAGCCAAAACTGGATCAAGTGCTGAAGACACATGATAACAATGTGAAAACAAAGAAAATAGGATTCATTGAATCATCACAAAAAAAGATAGGAAATAGCTCAAATAATTGTATCATTTTCCAAATGAAAGCAAAAGACAGGTCAGGTATACAGCTGAGAACGCTGCTAGTTCAAAAACTATCCACTCATTCTAAAGAAGAAAAATGTCCTTGAAGCCTACTCAACAACAGAAATAGTAATAGTAACAACCTTAACTTCCAAATCCAAGTCTGAGGCAGAATATCAAGAGTCTGAAGACTCAGAAGAACAATCCACAAATACCAGCAAGAACTACAACAAAACTAAAACTGCAACCAAATTAGTAGTATCTTAAATATTATCAAATAGCAAAACAGCAACCATTTGTCGACAGTTATCTCAAGATGGGATCGACATTCAGACACCTTCACAGGATATTCAGATCAACTATTGAAGAAGCTGTTAAACTTAAAGTAGAAATGAAGAAAACATTACATTTAGAAAGCTGATCACTACACTTTGATAATAAATGTATTAGTCAACCAGAATATTAAGTGTTAGTGTGTCGATGAACAAACAAAAAGAAGTTAACAATCTTGTTA